AACCTCTAGTTTCTTTAGAATGTGAATCATGAAAAGCTATTGAACAAATGAAACATTTGCAGCTCTAAATTTGCTCGGGTTCCCTCAAGAGCTGCTCTAACTTTCAGCATTGTGATAAATGTTACTGTTCACCAGATTACAGGGAAGGCTTTTCTGCTCTCCTCACATGAGCAGATTCTCTCTGTCCCTCTCTCTTCCTGGCAGCAAAAGTTTGCACCAAAGGAAACTGTATTAAAGAGAATAAAAGCAGAGGGTGTTAAGTTGGTTACATATTCAGTGAATGAAGCGACATAGTTACAAACAGGAGAATAAAGGCAGCAACAGAACACAAAGCTGCTGTGTTCCACAAACCAGCTCAAGAAAGAAAGTGCTATTTGTGAAGGAGCAGCTCTTTGAAATTGCACAGCTTGATTCAGAGCCTTTGGTGCCAGAGAAGTCCTGCATGCCTCACTGAACTTTAGGTCAAGCCCTTCTCAGTCTTTCACATTGCTGCACTTAACATTAAAGAATGACGTATTTTCCTTCAAGGTTAATTCTGTTAAGGAGTATTTTTAGTTACAGATAGCAAAGTTTCCCTAAAGGAAGCATTTGACAAGTTGTCCAAAAAATACTGCAATAGAAGTTTCATCTTTGGGCACATGTATCTATTTGGCAGCTCATTACAGGCCTTATCTACTTACTTGAGGAAATAATAAACTTTGATAAGTTTTATGGAACCCAAAACCTCTGAAAGCTTTTGTGATTAAAACCACTACATGGTATTACATAGCCCTTCAACTCCGCAAATAAACCTTTAAGATCAAGTGAGAGAGAACCAGTGAACCAGTAAAGAAAACTGGACATAAAGACCCGTTACAGGCACTAAAGGACGTTTTGACCGAGAGTCCACCATATTCCTCCTACATTTCCTCCCTCATCTTATTCATTCTGCAGAATACTAGTCCAAAGCAGGCATCAAGTTGGGATCAACCACTGATTCCGTTTCTGATACAACATAATCCCTTTCTACAACTGGGAAGCCCACCAGGTACCTCCAACACTTTAACATGCTATGAAAAGGAATCCTTGTGTTTTCTGTTTTGTTTGTGCACATCCACCTGTGCAATACAGCAAAAGCACTCACAGTCCCACAGTGCCTCATTCTTGCTAACACAGGTTGATGCATGTGCACATTTGGCTTTGCTCTATGTGGCTGACATGACTCCAAGGACTTCTTGGGAAGGACCTGCATATGGTGGGAAAAAAAAAGAAAACAGCCCAGATGATGATTCACTGGGTGTGGATTGTTTTCATTAGGAAAGAACAAAACCCTGAAGCCAAAGAATCCTATTTTAAAAGGAGGTTTCCACACTGAATGCAGACTCCTGCCTGGATCTGGCAGGCATCCTGCTGGCAGGGGCAGAGATCCTGCACCTAGCAACGATACCAGTGAGCCCCAGCAACTGTGCCTGGGCACTTGATTTCCCCAGGAAAAAGTTGGGAGGATTTGAGGGGGGAGAGCCTCTCCCAGCTATGCCTTGCCAAGTGCATGAGAGACGACAGCCCAAAACCAAGCACAAACCAGCTCCCTGTTTTAGAGTTATTTAACTGACACCAAATTATCAGAAAAGTGACACAGCTGTTAAAGCCTGGCAATGGTAAAGCTGGTAAATTTAGGCATACCTTGGAGGCAGATGTCACCAGAGCATGTGTACTGGTCTGCTGGATTTTACTGAGTGGTTTTATACTCTGACACAAGCAGAGTGTTTGAATCTGGAACAGTAACACTTCAATAAAAATTTGAAGATTCTAGTTCAGTCCTGTAAAAACCAAGACATCCATTGATCATAGGCCCAAAATTTCCCCCAGTCACTTGTAAAGGCCTCAAAGCTACAACTCAAGCAAGTTGTTTTGGCTGGAAATCACAACAAAGGCAGCAGCTTGCCTTCGTGTCCTGCTTTCCCAGCACTGCAGTCTTTGCCAGATTCCTGCCCTTGCTTCTAACAGATGAAGTTTTGCTTGCATGAGTGCTTGCTGAAATCTTAATCACATTTTCCTTAAGAAACAGGGGAGTAAAACAGGCTATGGCCCAGCAAGCCTGGTGAACTGTTCCCAGCGAGCCCAGGCTGTCTGCCTTTCCATCCTTTCAGCTTCCTTGCAGCTTCCTTCCCTTCTCCTGGCTGCTGCAGTGCCAGCTTCTGCTTTTGTGCAGGACTTGGTTCCCCATTGTTACACCAACTCCCTGAGAGAGGCAAACCTTTTCCATATATGCTGATAGTTGGAGATTTGGTTCCTGTATTCCCATTTAAAAATACACTGCCTAAAGTTCAGCTGTTTCCATTATAGCTATTACTTGTCACTTCCTGCCCCTTCTGGTTTTGGATTTAACCACCAAACTTCAGCCAACACTCCACTGCAAAATCTTGACTTTTAAGGAAGAGGCTCACCTACACTCTGGGATTAATAGGTGCCTATGTAATTCTCACTTGGAAAATTAATCAGACTATTAAAACTCACTTGTCCTTTCTAGAAGCATAAAACTAAAACAACCCTTTTCACCCCAAAATTATTTTCCCGCAGGTGATGGGAGAAACTATTTTGAAGCTAGCCTACTTCATAAAATCCAATCACTTACTATATTATCTTGAAGAAGCAATACTTAGGAAGATATTATTAATGGAGTTAATGTTGGATTTAGTTTTCAAAAGCAGTCTGCCTCAACCTGATGAGTCAGTCGTATGGCATCTGAAATGGCAACATGCCTAGAAAGGCAATTTGACATTTAAAGTGACATTAACCCACAGGTTATCATGGGTTGGAAATTTCTCCTGCAAAATGAAAGGACTGGAAATGGAACTAATGCATCAAAGTTCAGACAATCAGCCCTTTTGTAACAAACTCTGATAAACATCTCAAATGAAAGCAAAGGAATTGGGAGTGGAGGGAGAAGGTAGGAAGCATTTTCCACTTTCCTCATCATAAAGCTGGGAAAAAATACGGAAATAAAAATAAAGGCTTTTCTGCATTTCACTTTTTCTTGGCACTATTACAGCCAGAGATTTAGAGACCTCCTTCAAACTCTTTTCCCACGTTTTTCCTCCACTAGGAACTGGTGTTCCTTCACGCAGTCCCGCCTGGTCACATACATAGAAGCCTGCATGAAGGAGAAGTACATTGTCAACTCCCAACAGCCCTGCCCAAACGGAGTCCCAGACTGCCAGAAGATCATGTAAGTGTCCTAAATAAAACCAGTGAAGAAAACAGAATTTTCTCTGAAGTATCTAAAAGATGTTTTCAACAGTACTGAAGCCTCATCATTATTTCTAGGGGAGTTTAAAACAAATTTCTATCTTCCTTGGTAACTGTGGCGTTTTGGAATAATGTGTTTAATAATAAAATGCTCTACACCTCACAGAATACTATAGAATTCAGGATCAGTTCAAACTTGATTACAAAGGACTTTATTACAATAAATCTAATGCCTAGACCCTTCCTCTCCAGGTACAGGACAGCTCTGAAGCCAGTCTACCAAGTGAAACAGAAGACTCTGAAGTCTTTGCAGTGGAAATGCTGCCCTGGATTTATTGGCAAGGACTGTGAACAGCATGGTAAGCAAAGCTGGAGAACAAGTATAGGAATCAATGACTAAATGCCAGGCACAATGGCAAGAAATAAATTTGCCTCATTTTTCTCCTTTTTTTTAGAATTGATGTCTTGTTTTTTTTTCAGTCTGCTATGTCCCAAATCACTGATACTTTGAGACAAGAGCAGTTGTAATTAGCTGCAATTAATAGCTAAATAGCATTAGCTACTTATTCTTTTGTTAATAGCACCTTTGTAATGGTTACACATTAAGAAAGGCATTAATTTCCTGGAAAGCCCATCAGATGTGCATCTTAGACAAGTCCATCTAGGAATGCCTAATTCCAGGTAGAAACTGCTGACATCAGAAAGCAACACTTGTGTGTGAAATGTCCTTATGGTCAGTTCACAGGATGAAATAATGAGTTGGAAATCACAAGGTGTCCAAGTTCAGAGGAGAGGGCAGCCCTCACTCTGCAGTCTGCACTGCTCCTCCTCTCTGCTTACCCTGGCTACAAAGGCACTGGCTTCTTGAGCAGGGAGCAGCTCTACAGCACAGGCAGGAACAGTGCCCAGACTCTAACCTCCAGGAGAGCTCCAGGTACAGCCTTTAGAGTGAACTACTGTAACCCATTGCACTGGTGAATAAAGCAGTGGGGGCAGCAGGTTGAGGGAGGGGATTTTGCCCCTCTACTCTGTCCTCCTGAGACTCCACCTGGAGTCCTGCATCCAGCTCTGGGGTCCCCACCTTAAGGACATGGACCTGTTGGAGTGAGTCCAGGAGCAGCTCTGCTATGGACGCAGGCTGAGAGAGCTGGGCTGCTCAGCCCAGGGAAGAAAAGGCTTCAACAAGACCTCAGAGCACCCTCCAGTACCTAACGGGCTACAAGAGAGATGGAGAGGGACTTTTCACAAGGGCATGTAGTGGTAAGACCAGGAGAAATGGCTTCAAACTGAAACAGGGCAGGTTTAGTTTAGGTATTGGAAGAAATACTTTGCTGGGAGGGTGGTGAGGCAGTGGAACAGGTCTCCCAGAGAAACTGTGGGTGCCCCATCTTTGGAAGTGTTCAAGGCAGGTTGGATGGGTCTCTGAGCAGCCTGGTCTAGTGGCCTCCCTGCCTTGGTGAGAGGGTGGGAATTAGATGGTTTTAAGGCCCTTTCCAACCCAAACCATTCTATGATTCTGTGATCTGTGCAGCTGCTAATAAAGCGAGAGGGGAGACAGTGTGGTTTAAAAACTGAATGGTGGTTTAAAAATGGCATTGACAAGATTTAGCAAATAATACACAAAAAGCAGAATTTAAACAGATTCAAGAATTTAAATGGAATGAAGGGAATTTAAATGGATAAAAGGTAATTCCCTCTTGAAATTAAGTCAACCATAACAATAAAGGCAAACATATGTCTGAAAATGTTTCCACAATCTACGTCTAACTCACCTTCAGACTCCCCAGACGAAAATCTCTGTAGGTTTAGCTTTTCTTCACAGATAGCTTTCATTTGTGGGTTGATCTCTTGGTGAACTTCACTCATAATATTGGAAAGATATTACCAAATGCAGTGCAACTATTTTAGTCTCTCTATTGTTACATTCATTGACCAAAACCAGCTCCTCCATCAATATCTTCTCATTTGTACAGCATCATTCACTGCTGCTGCCACCAGAATGTTCAGGTAACTGTGGAACAAGGAAGAAGAATTTACAGATCTCTAGATGGGACCCCCAGAAAAGAAAAAAGCCCCATTTATTTGCAATAGACTAATTTCTTATGAGCAAAGCTTGGCATGAGTTAAAAATCCCCACACTATACTGCATAGCACTGCCATGCATACAATGTCGTTTGCCAGTGCAAGGAAAGTAAGTCCTCCAGAGAATGTGTTCTTTCCCCAGGAAGCCTGTCTCCACACCATTTACACAATACATGAAATTCCTGTGGGATCTTGCTAAACTGCAGTAGTTTCTGCATCTAAAACATGTTCACAGCTATATCATATCTCAATTGCAGATCCTAATTTTATTCTGGTGCCAGGAATTGAAACTGAAGGACAAGAAGAAGAGTTCTCAAACCACAGTATGTGCTTGAAGTTATTTTGTTTGTCGTCCTTTTACCTCTCAGTCACTGAGCAGGAGAAGAAAAGAGAAAAACAGATTTGAAGCTGTAATTTTAAAGTGATAAACTATGGACAAACTCCTTAGTGAAAGCATTTTCTGGGAAAGCTTTGAAACAATACATTTACTGACTTAAATGAGGGCTTTTGCTGTAACACTCTGTGAATGCTCACAACAAAGCATCCCAAAGTTTCAAAGCTGTTTGGTCAACAGTGAATGCCAGCTGGTGCAGAGCCTTGCCCCTTTCAGTGGCATGGATGTTAACCCCTTGCCCTGGAGTGGGTTCACAGGAGAGCACACCATGCTCACAAAAATCTACCAGAAAAGCAATCCACTGAAAATGCTATTTTAGAACGGCCCCCCAGCAGGTCTGAGACTACAATTACATTTGTATCTCAAGCACTCCACCCTACCAGTGTAAGTGCCACAAATGACCCTCAAGTGGTGTGGCCTGCAGTGCTATGAAGTGCCTTTCAGCAATTAGCTTCAGGGAAGTATTGCACCCTTTGAAATCTACAGCTCAACTGCACAAGTATTTATTTAGAAAAACATCAGTTAAAGGGCCCCTCCATGAGGCCTCACACTTACACACTGTGCTTCTGATTCCTCAGTGGAATGTCTCAATTGCTCTTTCATCCCCTCCTTTTGTTCTAGGCTGTTAAACCTTGCCATCCTTTTAGTCAATGGCTTGAAAAGAGTTAGTATTCCAAAACATTTTTATGGCATGGGGAGATTTCTAATTATGAGCATTTTATTGCCATCATGGCTGTTGTAGCTGAAATTCTCTGCAAATATTTGGATATATTAGGTTTCCATCACTGTTGGAAAAAATCCTTGCAGATAAACTGCAATTTAAGGTGCCAGAAATCAACAGACCCCCTAAATGTCAGTGCAAAATTTTCAGAATGAAAACCAGACAGGTGTTCTCAGAGGTCTTGCATGAATACCTGTCACCTGGTCGCTGCACTCTGTTGCATGACTTTGTTTTTCTAATCTTGTGACTAGTGTCAACATCAGTGGATTCAAGAGAAATGTTCCAAGTCATTCAGAATCATGAGGCTTTACTGGATGATCTTCAAAGTGATATTCATCAAGCAGCCAGCACCTTAGGTGACTTACAGAGACTATTTGAGAACAACGGTACAAGCATGGTGTTAGCAGTGAACGAGAACAATTCAGGTGAGAGGTCTGATGCAGAATTATCAACCCATGACAGGCGCTGTGAAACCACACAAATCAGAAAGAAAATGTGAAAGCAAAAATACCCTGATATTCCTTGGTCTGCTGGTTGCTTCTACAGAGAGAAAAAATGGGTGCAATCCAATGCAAATGAATGAATCAAAGAGTAACTTGAAATGGGAAATGAGAGGAAAGGCACTGTTCAGAATATGCCTTAATCACAGAATAAAGAGGTTGCTTATATTTAAAATTTGTTAACCTCACTATTCTGCTTCTATGGCTTCTTCTCTTTTGTGGGGATGCAGAGTTTAAATCTGTTCTTTTTCCATACTTATGCTGTACACTCTGATGTGTGGAATAGCATACTGGTGTTACATGAAAAAATGAAACATTTGACCCATCTCTGGAACACTGTTTCTGCCATATACTGGAGTGGGAAAAAAAGAGCTGCTGAATTTAACCTACCATAGTGAGCCACTGGCTTGCAGAAACATTTTCTAATGATACAGACTACACAGTACTCAGTGAACTTCAAGGCACTAGAGTTTGAACTTCAAAGTTAGAAACTGAGCCTTAGTATAATTCTCATATCCGCCAGATACCTCACAGATTTTTCAAGTTATTTACTCCTAACCTGGAATATTCAGCTGTTAAGATGCTGTATAATCTTGTGGAGTTGAAAGCATGAGAAAAAGAACATTATGACACAGTCAAAAAAGAAAGAGCTCACTAACTAAGAACTGTTAAGAAAATGGACAGTTATGGCCACTGGAAAAACCACCTGTACACAGGTTTCAAAAAAGTATAATTTTTAAGATAAATGGGGAAGTCAATACATATCCAAGTTATTTTCTGCGCAGTCTTAGACACCATGTGCTTGATAGTAACCTTGATTTAACAATAGGCTATTTTTGCAATTGTTGAGATTTATCACGAGGTCAGATTCTGGGGAGTAAGACAGCAACTACCATAGAAAAATGAACACTTGAGTTAACCTGTCTAGATTGCATTCCAAAAGCAGAATATAAATTTAATTTTTTTTTTTTCAACCGTATTAACAGATCATCAGGAAAGGCTTCTGCAGCAAGTTTTGTTTCCTCACGTGGAGAATTTTCTAAGAAAACATTTTAACCCAGTGTGGGCAAGCTTCAACAAAAGCTTACAGAACCTCTCCAACATAGTAAGAAATCTGTCCCATGATGTGGAAGCCAACAAGAAAAGCATAGAAAGATTCCAAGAAAGCACTGTGCCCAAGAAGGAATTCCAGGAGCTGGGAACTAAATTTGAATCAAAAGTCCAAGAAAACATAGTGAAAGTTGATCAGGCAAAAAGAGATATAGAGAACAAAGTGCACATGCAGCAGGCTAATATTCACTATAATCTCAGCATGATCAAGGCAGATACTGACACAAGACTCAAGAAGCTTCATAAGATACAGCAGTCCCATTTCTTAGCTTTGAATAACAGCATAGCAAACATGAAACAAGAGCAAAACTTTCTTGAAAATAAATTGGAAGCTTTGAAAAAAAATTTAACAGAGCTCTCTTTACATCATGGGCCCAAAGATGAAAACAGCCAGTTAACCATCAAACATATGAATGAAATACTGTCAGGGCATGCCAAGCAGCTTAAAGAACTTTACATGGAGTCAGATGTGGCCTTTCAGAATATTGCAGTTTTAGAGAGGTGGTTTAAGGAGTTAAAGAAAAACATCTCAAAGTACAGGCCAGAAGATCTTACAATAACTTTAGCTGAGAAATCAGTTATTATGGAAGAAAACGACGCAGCAATGGAAAGGCAGATATCAGAGCTCAACTACACTCTCTCAAACCTTCAGGAAAACTATTCAGATCTGCTGCAGTACATGGAGGAATGCAATTGCCAGAGAGTATCTACTGACACTGATGTACTGGAGGAAGATCCAAGGAATAGCACTTATTCCCTTGAGGACACCCAGTCAAAGGATATGAAGCACTTGGAGTCAGTTTTCAGAGATTTCTTCAAGAGTGAAATTGAAGAGCTCTCCTCAGCTATTCCGTCCATCCATCTGTCCCTTAACCTCCGTCAAGAAGAGAACAGACAGCTTCAGTCACAGGTTACGGCTTTTTCAGAAGACATGGGCTTGCTGAAGAGGAAAGATGAAGAAATTCATCGGCACATCAAGCATCTCAACAGCTCTTTTAGCTCTCTTTTGAAAGACGCAATGCGGCACGAAGAAGCGCTGGAGGCTTTACTGAGACATGAATTTCTGGATGTCTTTTTTGAAGATGATTTCAGTAGCCTAATACCATCAGTATTTCAGCTGCAAGAATCTCTCAGGCACTTTTCAGATAAACTGCAAGAACAAAATATGACTTTAGAATCTCTTAGAAGGAGATTTCATCCCTTGGAGAGAAGTCACCAGAATAATCATGATGCTCACTTGCCTCCTAAGCATCCTGAGGAGGAAACACAAACCTCCTCTACTCTACACGAAGTCAGCAGTCAACGCAGTGTCATAGAACACATGGAACCTAACTATGAGGCTGCCAAAGATGACTCCTTGGAGAGCTCAGCATATAATGATATCATGACTCTGAAGAATGATATCAAACATCTGAGCCTGGCAATCAAGAGGCATGAATCCAGAGGTGACATAAGCCTCTGCTGCAATCATACAATAGCAAATGTAATTGAGCCACTCAACGTTTCTGTAGAAATTCTCTCTGCAGATTTAGCAACCATCAAGCGGAATCTGGAGGAACATCTGGTGACTTTCAAGAAACTGTTTGGAAGTAATGAAGAATTAGGTGCCTCAAATATAAGTCTGGATGTTACAAAGATTCAGTCAATGCTGCAGAAAAAAGGGAGAAGGCAACAGAAAGGTCAAGACAAGAAAAGAGACAAGAAAAGGTCTGAGAACCACAGAGAAAATACACAAACAATAAGTGGAAGAAATACAGTGCAGACAGAATTTGTGGAAAAAGGTGTGTTCTTTTCTTTCACTTGCTCATGTACAGGTCTAGCTTCTTTTTAGGCCCTGATACAAATTCCACACACAGAGATACTAGTATTAGTTATAAGAACTATCAGGTATCTTGTGGGATGCTAAAGGGAGAAATTCTGACATTACTTATATACTCCCCCTCCACCAGTTTAAATAGAGGAAAAAAAGCAGTTTGAGTGAGAACCAAGCTGATATTCTGCTGTACTGTGGTTAAGACCAATAAAATAACACCTGCTATTGCTGCTAGGAAATTGGTCTTGAACTAATTCAACTTGAGGTGTTTAGAAGACACATTTTGTTTGTAGATGCTCATGTTAATGCTGTAGCACTCTTCCCTTTGGAAGCTGATGTGGACTTCTTCTTTTTCCCTGTTACTTTGTTTCTTGGCTCTGGAAGGAGTGTACTCAAAGCACCAAATCCTTCTCAAGACAGACAGATGCATTAAATGAACTGCTATAATTTGCACAAGTGGAACAGGCAGCACTGACCAGAGAGCACATACTCTCTCTCTTACAACCAAGCTTCAGAGAAAAGTTTTCAGCTCATTCTTCACTGGGACTGGCCAGTTCCCTTTCCCTACAAGCATGTGACCATAAGCACCCGGTAATTACAACCACCACAGCTTTAACATTGGCTTTTATGATTGCAGTCCTTGTTATGGACAAATAACAGAGCAAAAATCAGCCCCTTTAGGCAGCTGTGCTGCAAAACTGTAGTTAAGACTGAATAAGCAGAGAACATACTCTTAACTGATTTATTTTTGGGACAGTAAGAGAGTGCTATTTTTTCCCCCTGGGTGGTCCCAGCATTATACTTCTCCTAGAGTTCCAGGGAATCATTTATCTACTCCAGTGTCTAGCTTTGCAAAGAAGCCTATAAACATCAGGCCTGAGAGGGATTCACCTTATCTCCCATCCTGATGATCCTGGGGACAGAAGAGCGCTCACTCACTGCTAAAATCCTGATCCTCTTTCTTTTTCAGACTCATTGGTGGCATTCCACGTGGGATTCTCAGAAAGAAAGGATAAAGAAAAAACTGTGAGGTTTAACGAAACATACCTCAATTATGGAAACAGCTATTTCTCTGAACATGGCCACTTTAAAGCACCACACAAAGGTGTCTACCTGTTTGTCATCTCTGCGGAGTTCAGCTCAGGACCAGCACTGGGACAACTCTCCTTCAGCCGTGGGTACAAAAGAACTCTCTCAAGCAGTCAGAGGAAAACCCCACATGGAAACACCATGACTACTTTTGCTATAGCAGAAATGGAGAAGGGGGAGACAGTGTGCTTTGAATTGCTGCAAGGCTCTGTAGTGAAGCGAAGCCCGCCTGGGACAACTATGGGTGGATTCCTAATATCTAAAACTTGAATAGTGACATTTATGTTTTATTAATCTCCTTCCATAGGTGCAATGGATGCATTCACTATTGCTTCATCTGTGATGTATTCAATGCTACTGCATGTGTTTAAACATAGCACTACCCTAGGTTTGTCTTCATGCTTCTTTTCTGGAAGTGTTTGGCTTTTGATTAGTTGCTTATGAGCAGCAATGGGATTTTCTTTCAAGTGAAAAGCTAATGGTTTGGACTCCAAATGTATCAGCACACACATTCCCAAATCCTTCCAATGTGAGAACTGCACATAAATGTTTTGTGGGACTTCACCTTTAACACAAATTTCTCCTTTCCCTTGGCAAAAGAATATCCTCTCATGACAAATGCCCCCAGTCAATGGCAAGGAAAAGATTTTGGGTAGGACTGCACACTCTCATGTTATATGGATGGTACCTTACAACCCAGAAGCCAGGGCAATTTTACCTTTTAGTTCTCTGTGGACCACAGACTATCTTGGCAACTTCTGCAACTCACTCCAATGTTTCAGTCTGTGCACAACAGGAACACTAGAAGAAATCCATCAAACCCACTAAAATTCACTCTATTGCCAATATTTGCAAGCAAGGATCTCCTAAATGGTCCAGTCTTTGTTTCTTGGCCTGTGATGTATTTGAGCTACACTGCAAAAATTTAAAGCATTGTTAAGATGAATTACATTTACATTTAGACACTACGAAAATGTCAACAATATTTTAAAAGTATTGGTGAAAACACAGTTTATTTCTAAAGTTAATCCTAGAGATTATCATGAATTCAGCCCAAAGTTCAGAATTTGGTAAATATTTTAAAACCAAGCAAGCAAAACCAAAATCAAAAGGCAAGCTCATTGGTCTGTTATCACTGCTGAATATAAATTTGTGATGAGAGTAAATCAAAGAGTAGAACTTCTGAAATGTAGAGGGTTTTTTATTTCCAAAACTTCGAAGTGACCATGCCTGGTCATGTCTTAAACTTTTCTTTTGTCAAATAAAACTTCCCGAAGACTTTCACTTTAAAGAAGTCCAAGTATTGTGGTATTTTTATCTATCCCAATACCTTACATAGCAAGATTAAAACAATTAAATTTGCCAAAATGAAATGCACTTTGAAATTCCTAGTATTTTTGATGAAGATATAAATTATTATGCCAATTGCACCCTTTTGAGGTAGCATTTTTTAACAAATCTATTCTGCTGTTAAGAATTTTCCCCCACCCACCTGTACTCTAAGGAATACTAACCTATCATTGTTAAAAACCCCCAACACATCGGTACCAACACACAATGCACCCAAAGCAACAGTCTGACAAGCAGACAATACCTATCTTTTGAAATAAAGCTACAAAGCAATTTCAGCTATTGACTTGCTGAGAAGATTGTTTTTTCTATCCTGACAAATCCAAGAAAACTAACAACAAAAAATCTCCTTATCTCCTCCTGGCCAGTGCTGATTTCCACAGGAGATGCCCAGGCTAGGTGTTTCTGTTTTTCTAGCACGGAGCCATGGCTCCCAGTGCTCTGCTGCAGGCAGCACTAAGTGCCTGCAAACTCAGTGTCATTTCCTGTCCCACTTTTGCTCAAAATATCTGAGGGACGAAAGAAGAATAAAATTGAAAGGGTGAAAATAAAGAAAAGCATCAAATTGTAAGATTAGGTTCTTTCAGTACAAAGCTACCATCCTGGGGTGACCCAGATGGGTTTTTACCAGTGTTCCTCCAATTCCTGACTTTTGTGGTGGCAGCATTCTGCAGAGCCAGGCCAAGTGTGCTGCCTAGGTCAGGGTGGTTCAAGGAACATCTCATCTTCAGTGCACACCAATTCTGCACCTACCAGCCAAGTTCCACAAACAAGCACCACTGGGGAATATGTGTATGTTACATATGGGGGATAGGATACACATATGTATTTCAGAACTCTCTGTTTTTAAAGCTTTGACAGAAAGCTTCAGCTGGAACGGAAACCACTCAGAAATGGACACAGGAGGTAGCAGAGACCATTGCAGTTCATCCTGTCAGGTTTTGTGTCCTTCCTTGTGCTTACCAGAGTACTTTTGTTGAAGAACATTCCAGATGAGTTCAGAGAACACTGACTCCAGAGTGAACAAAATGTTCATTTAAAGATGTTTCTGTATTCTAAAGATGTCTTCAAATATGTGCTTAAGTTAGCCACTTGCACATACAAAGAAGACACACTTCACTGAAAGACTAATTTTTATGGGGCAAAAAATGAATGAAAGAGAATGGAATAAATCACTCTGCTAGCTACTTAAGCCAGGAAGACTGACTTCCTTCTCAAGCAACAACAGAACAATGATTAATCTACTGGGCTGTGGTTTTGTTTGTTCAAAGCAATAAACCAGCTTTATAATAAGCCTCCATCTAAACCACTCCTGCATTTTTTTTGTGGGATGGTTGTTTGGGCTTTTTTATTATACCAACATAGCCACACCACTATGACCTGTATTTTTAGGCAAACTAGAGAAATCGATTTAATGAAGATAATTTAAAATAAAGCTATTGGTTGGCTCAGTGGATTTAGGAGAATTTCCAAACGTGAAAAACAACCTGAAGCTGACCATAGGCACGGGGAAGGGTTGTCTGTAAGAGCTTCAGTTTCCCTCACAGCAGACTGACTCATGTGCCTGAAGGCCAGGCAGCAATAGGCACAGAAACGTGTGCTCACTCCCGGATACCGATATATGTAATGTCAATCTGACATTCACACACAAAAATAAAAGCTTCCAGCAGCTTTTAGTACTTCCTAGAAACCTGCCAGAAAACGTTGCCACTGCTTCAAGTTTCTGTATTTCCAGATCAATGCACTAAGCTTTGTAATAAGGTAGAAAGCTGTGTACCTTAGTGCCTTCATGGAATTATTTTGTTACTGATCTGCTGCTTTATGAACGTCAGTATCTTACAGTACATTTTAAAATTAAAGTCTCCTAAAGTTTTTTTTCCCTTTCCATTAATAAGACAATCTCCTCACTGTACTCCAAATTCAAGTACTGACTGAATCATGTATAAACAATTTTACTTTCTATAGCTCCAGCAATGCCTGAATTCTGCAGGTAATATCCACATCGAGCCAGAGTCTGAAGCCCAAGGAGATCTCCTCATGAAGCACTCAGGAGGTGGTGAGCCCACAGCAGTGGTCCTTTCTGAGCTGATACTGATCTACTGCATTCACATCAGTGAGAAAGACCAAAGTGGTGTTCCAGGGAAAGGTGAAGATGAAATTGCAGAAGGAATTAAGGAAATGAATAGAATTAAATCTGATCTTTTCTGAATTTAGTTATACTTCTTCTATTTATTTAAAAGTTCATGATTCAGTTTGCTTACTACTTGGTTTATTTTTTGGTGTGCCCACAAAACATGCATGTGCAGTGTTTACACATTTCACTGGACACTGCTGATTCACCTCTTAGATACTGATGCCAACTCATCAGTAAGGTATTTTATGTAGTGGTCAAACCCACCCATCTACAACGGAGAACATTCTGGTATGTAATACCAGCAGGCAGTACAACATATTTTCACTTTCCCCAAGTCCTTGCTTTAGGACACAGCACCACGGTGTGGCCGTGTCACGCAGCAGCACCGAGAGAAAAGGCAGCTCAATACACGGACACGTGCAAACACACACCCACGATTTTCATCAAGCCCTCCTGCAACGCTAACATGAAACCCCAGTTTTAAATCCAACCGCCACCACTGCAACCAGTGAAGACATTCCATTCCACAACAGCCACAACCACAGGAAAAAGGTTTACCTTGCCAAGATACTTTAAATCCAACCGCCACCACTGCAACCAGTGAAGACATCCATTTAATTTAAGAAGACCAAATCTTTGTGCAGTCTAATTTCCTAGTATTATGTGTTAAGGACAGAAAGGTTTGAAACTATATTGCTGATCTTTCCACTGCACTTTCCAGAACTATACTGCAAGAATTTAACACTTGATTGTATAGGGGAAACAAAACAAGGCTTATAATTATATTGGTAGCAGTTTTTATGGTGTTCAGCTACTTTCTAGCTACTGTAAAAAATATGTATTTAAATCTAAGATTATTCCTGATTAAATGCAAAAAGAGAACAGAAACTGATCTTACTTCTTTCTCCTTGTAAACTAAAGGTGGACTCTGTGAGAGTAGAAGCCAATACATTTCTGCAATGAGAAAACAAATTCTGACACTCTCTTCATAGTACTCACAGGTGAGACATCCCCTTGACTGGTCTTCATTTGCTTGAATCACAAAAACCAGAGTAAATTTAGCAGGATATACAGAAGCACCTGCATATTTTTGCAACAAGCAGTATATACACATATTATACTCAAATATCTTAATTTGGATACTATTACACAAAAAGAATGTTGTACACGGAGGGAACAAAAAGCAATTACAAAATTCCCCATCCTTTTATTTTTTCTGTTTTTACCTGGTAACCTTGAGGCAAATTTATATGGATAAAACCAACATGTAGGGAACTTGCACAAAAAGAATGTTGTACACGGAGGGAACAAAAAGCAATTACAAAATTCCCCATCCTTTTATTTTTTTCTGTTTTTACCTGGTAAGCTTGAGGCAAATTTATACGGATAAAACCAACATGTAGGGAACTTGTATATGTTCAAACAAAAGTATTATTTGATTTTGATTTGCCTTTGGCTTTGCCGTAACACAGGGATAAAAATCAGGAGAAGAAAACACTGTTTTTCACTGTTGCACCCAAATTTAAATATTGTGCAAGGAATAAAGAGCTTGAACTTAGAGAGCACCAAATAATTTTCAATATCATTGAACAATAAAAGCAGTAATTAACAACTTACTGTGGGGGAAAAAAGCCATCAACGAGGTATGAAAAAGTAGGGAATTATTTAGTTACAGTATTAGGATTTCCAAGTTATTACATCTTTAAGGCAAAATCTTATAGTAACAAAACACATTACTAATGTGTACTAAAATAAGGTTATTTACTTAAAAATGATACATTGGACATAATCTGTGTACAGAACAAGCAATTCATGGTAAACTCAATAAGGCACCTTCTAAAGCAGATGCTGTACAAAATACATTAGTGTGTTACATTTTTAAAGTAGTATTCTACACTTCTGGCATATAACACACACAAGAGTGTGACCATTTGTCTTGTTCCACTCTTCTTTCATATTTTATTTACATCTTCTCTAGGTTAACTACAATGTTATTTATTCTTCTTGTATACAATATAGTACATTTCATTTTGGGCATGTCATGTCAGAGCACAAATATCACTACATGATGTGGGCTTCTAGAATTGCATTAAACAGGAAAATATCACAAAGCAACAATTACATTATATTTGTCGAAAAAAACAGAAGTAATGTGCCCTCTACTTCTGCTGTTCAACCAAGGCTGAGCACCATGGTTTCATAAGTACTGTACTGTGCAACACTGCCAGCTGCTTTTAGACATCACCCCTACTTGGAATAAAGTCGGTGGGCACAGGATAAAGACTTAACTCAGAGGCACTGTCAGGAGAGTGAACAAAGGCTAAATCATTCTAATATTTCACAGAAGACAGGCATGTAACTTCCCTTTAAAAATATCTGCAATAGCAAAAGAATGTTTATTAACTTTATATCTCTGCTCTTCAAACACTTTTAGACCATTAAAATACAGTCTGTTAAGACAGAGTAGATGAAATGTATCCAAATGATTTGTTTTATAAACACATTCAAATGGTCATTTAGATCAAGATCTAAAATTTGATTCTATACTACCATGGAGGTAACTTAAAATATTAATTTTACATTTCATTCAAGACCCCAAAGAAGGCTAATTAAGAAAATAATTCAGAAAAAGTGATGGATATTGGGAAAACTGTTTCTTTAGGAAAAATTACATTAAGTAAAATTCAGAATAAACTCAGAATGTACGCCTAATTTTCTCTAGAGGAATACCACATTCCTGGTGGAATTTGCAAGTTAACCAGGAACACAAAAACTTTGCTTTTAGTTGCTGTAATAATAAGAATGAAGTGACTGCAATTATTTCCATCTAAAATCACATGGAACAGGTTCAATAAACATAAAAATCCCTCCATATGAGTATTTAAAAACTTCCAAGGCACAGTCTTGATACTCCCCAAGGTATTTTCCACACAGTTGATTTTTGTATTAAAAAAAAAAAAAAAAAAACAAAAAAACCCACATTTGCCAGTTTTGGAGGATATTTTTTTGAATGACAAATGCTTAAAATTTTGACCACCAAAAATGAGATTAATCACAGTCCAACAGAAGAACCGTATTACCCTCTCTGACCTTAAAGGCTTCTGAACACTACAGGATTGCATAAAGTAACAACTTACCTTTGGAGTCTTAATTATGCTTAGTTAAGTAAAAATTAATGGGCTGGCTTCAAGCACATTTTTCCACCCAAATGATTAAGTATCAATATAGACATCCTTTAGTGTTAATGTTTTGTTGAGTATCAGAATCAAGGAAGCTGCTGTTCAGCACAGCAAAAACTACACATGCATGATAGACTTGAGTATGAACAGAGTAAATGAAGTGCTGATAAATTAGGTTAAAGGCAAAAAAGATTTTTTTTCCCCTCTCAAAAAACCATCTTTGCAGCAGTTGGCTCTCTCTATGTTAAAGCAACTTGAAAATCAATTTAGGTCCTAAGGTGTCTAACCATGCTATTGCTGCCTTGCAAATACCCAAACAATGGAAAAGAAAATAAGCGAAAATTTACATATTATTGAAATTCATACTTCCAGAAGGGGCTTCCTGGAGAGCTGGGAAAAATGAACTAAAAAAAAAAAATTCACAAAACATGTTTACAGTTAATGATGATGTGGCAAATTCTAGAAGAAATGACAAAATATTCTACATAGGATGGGGTTAATTTAGACAGATCTCCATGCTCTGAAAGTTTAAGCTAGCAGGGTACCTACATAAACATTTTTTCCTTCTTATTGATAAAAATTCTAGAGAAGGAAAAAAAAAGCTTATCCCTTACTTTTTTTGGCTTATACCAAAAATTTTCCAACTACCTGTGCAAAAATTATGTGCGAAGACATGATTAACAATTTCAAAATCATCATAAATTTCTTGGCAATGGACGGAGAAACTTTTTTTTAAAAGCCCTTTATCATGAGGATTGTGGCACAATATCGTAATTCTCTTGCTGTTTTCAAATAAGTTAAAGTTGACATACCTATGAACTTCTCAGCCAGAATACATATTAATACTTAAAGGCATTACTAAACAAAAGTAATGACTTTATTAAAAAAAAAAAAAAAAGTCCCTTGAAATAGCTAGTTTTCTATAAAATATGTAGAACTGTTAAATAAAGTCTGTACATCACAATAGAAAATAAAAATACTGCAATCTTTTGCCTGACCATTTACATTATGGGATCTACAGGATTAAAACAAAAAGGTAACATGCTAAAATGTTGTAATTGTTCACAAATCACATTACTTCTGTGTTACATTGCTTTGTATCAGTTGTATTTTCAAGGGAAATTTAAACACATCAAAACAATCTCTATGTAAATATTTTAAGACAACAAATAATCTGGCATAAATCAATCTGAAGTTTTAACAATTTCATCAGTTCTGGTATTATTCTTAACTTTTTTCTTCAGATCTCAACTATGGCATGTGTGTGTGCATATATCTAATTGTACAGATGTACTTAGGACTAGGTATTTATTGTATTTTGTTTTACTAAAGCACAAAACACACTGTATAAATAACTTCCCTTTTTAAAGTTATCTAGAACAAGATTTACAGTACAAAATTATAGGCACTTAAAATTATCAAATAGATTCAATGGTTCCAATACTGTGTGTTCAATCTTCAGATGATTCATGCTTTGAAGCTTCAACTTGAGTTATGGTACTATTTTCTAACTTCCAAGAAGAAGTGCCAAAGGAGTTATAAATCAATAGTTCTACTTTACAGTAACCTCATGGAGGGTTCTGGCTTCTATACACCTTGTGTGGGTCAGTGGTGAAAATGGGGGACCTTCAGTTTCTCGTGCAGGTCCAACAGTTGGCACAATAAAACCAAGTTTTGCAATTGTGCTAACTTACTGTATCTTCATGACTTAATTTCAATGCCATTCCTCCCAAACTTAACTAGAACTTAAAACACCCACTGATTTACCTTGTCTCAAATCTTCACTTCCACTAAGTGGCTCACAGATGTGGCCTCCTGTGTCTACATCAGAGCAACCCAGCTCCAAATCTTCTGCACGCTGTGGATCTGATCTTCAACAGTTCTCACTCACTTCTCCTGGTCTTGACCCTTTACTGCATTCTCTGATCTTCAGAGCACCCAGGGCTTCCTGCCTTCCTTCTTTTGTGTCTGTACACCAGACTTGTTCTCAAGCCTTTCAAAACTCACCTTCTGCCTAGTTTTGTCAAATGATGAAAGAGCACATGGTACAGCTGACAAATCCCTTCCTTTGTGGGAAGAAATTCAAAGCCTGACAGACACCTATCAGAGTCCCAATACAGCAGGAAGGCAACACACATCACCATCAGTCTTTCTGCTAAGATGTAAAGTATTCTATGGCAAAAATGCTGGTTGCATGTGGCACTGTGAAAAAAATATGACAAATTTCAGGGATCCAATTATGAAGCTCTCTCTAGACTGCAAGTGAGATGACCAAAGCAGCCTACATCTCTAGAAGAGATTGTTTCAAGCTCCTTACAGATTTAGGTAGGCATTTCTTAATTAATTAATGGTTCACATTTTTGCAGTTCTCCTTGTGACCAAATAAAAGACAAAGAAATTAAAACTGAGATTTCTGAAGATAACTTAATGGCAAAAGATTCAGTAGCAAATCTCTGATTATGGAGCCACAAAATGCATGGAGCCCTGACCATAAAACTTTGTTCATTTAAATGGTTTCTTATATATTCCAAATGACAGCAAAATAATCCTGGCACACACATAAAGGCATAAAGAACAGTTTAACTGAGTAGTATCACAAACAGATTAATAACCTACAGGCTGTTTCACCAAAACTTGGTATGGATTGACTAGGTTTTATCAGGTAGAAGACAAAAAAACCCAAAAAAGCTTATATTCTCCATCTCTGTTGAATCCATATAGCTTGTTAGGCTTTCACAGAAAGCACTGTAATCTGAACATTCAATTCAGTACCCAGAGTTTTACTGGAGACTCACTAAGTATGATTGAAGTCTCAATGCAGCTCAAACCAAAACAAAACGTGTATTTTCTCAAGGCTGTCCATATATGTAGCACGTAGTGTATAGAGGCTCTCTATACAGTATCATGGTCCATGAAGTACTGAAAGATTTCATTAGCAGCCTGTAGAAGTGTGCTGAGAAAATATACTGAATCTCAGTTATTTCCTCTTCTCTATTTTTATCTTCCTCACCCACGTTTGAGTGAAAAGATCTAGGGAGTCCAGCTTTGCTCTCCAAAGTCAATTTCCTATGTCAAATCTTTACATCTTGTGATTCCACCATCTTGGCAAGTGTCTTCTTGATCCTCAAGGCAGTGAGCCTTGAGGCAGGATTATGAGCCCAGCACTCAGACATCAACTTCAATATTGCTCTTAAACACTGCAGAAGGAAAAACAAAGGCACATTATTGTAACAATTGCTACGCTTAAAGTTATAATTCTGGTTCGCTGTCAAGCTCAAATTACAGAACTTTCAAGTCCAAAAATGTGCAGCTTCCAAATTTTCTGCAAAATTGTTGGTAGAAAACTATTATAAAGAGATCTACTGAAGGAAAAACCCCAAAACACCCCAAACCCAACATCCACATGCCAATCCTTCTTATCCCACCCCCTCACTGCCAAGTATAACAGTAGCTGGAACTAACGGCAGTGTTGATTTAGTCTCTCAGTGATGCATTACCAGAACTTCTCTGTACAACTCAAGAACAGTGGTACAAATGTGGCAGCAATAAACAGAAATATCTCCACATCTATGGCTGCAAAACCTTAGAGAATTCTTTCAGGGAAAATGAAGACATGACAACAGTTCTTTCAGCAGTAAAAAAAAAAAAAAAAAAAAAAAAAAAAAAGAGAAAACTGGTAATTCATAGAAGTCAAGGACTTGGGGAAGAATAGATATGGCATATGTAACTTGCTATGTGAAATAGTTATGTCTTATTTACTGTGTTCAAGCTGTGGCCCTTTAAAAACACATATAAATGAGAGTATTTTAGTTATATCACAGATTGTCCTGGGATGTAACAGTAAAAAAGGAAAAAAGGGAAGAGGAAATCCACAAAGGAATTGTTTTGTCTTTCATGAAATATCATGCCAGAAACCAATAAGCTATATCTATTAGGACTAATAAAATGAATTTAAAAATAATTTAAGTTTGAGCTCCAATTAAACTCTGAATATGTTCCACTATCTAAAATACATGATCTCAAGTAGAGCAGTATTCATATACTTGCATGCTGCTTAAGGGTATCTTCCCCCTAGATCACTGAAAAGATACATAAAAAAGTACAGTATTTTGAATTGATCTCAAGCATGTCTTTCTCCTATTACTGCTATGAAGTTTACAAAGTATCAGAATGTGGGAATGCAGTCCTACTTGACAACATTTTAGTATTTACTAAACTAAAATGCCACCCCATATTAATGAACAAACTGAAGCAGCTTTTCCTCTGAGCACACTCACTTCATCACTGTTCCATCTGTTCGACACCACTGGGCGCAGGCGTTTGACACACACCACTTCCCTCATGTCCTCATAGGATGGATCATTTGGCACCATGTCATAATATGGCAACTGGTATTCTTCAACAATACCTGGAGATAATTGTGAAAGATTAGGAACAATTACAATAAACAAATCCACATATCTACTCTCAGATTTCCTTGGCCAGGAACAAAAATCAACTTTCTGCCAAGTTTAAACTCAACACACTGTGAGTTTTACTGTGGTAAAAATCTGAAAATTCCACTACAACAATAATTTACTGTAAAAGCTCCAATATTATCATTATTAACTTTAGTAGCTATGATGATTCCTTGCAGTGCCTTTGATTTTGATACTAAATGCTAGCTTTAGCTTTTTCTAATTTACTACATGCTACAAAGAAGCATAGAGAAACATAAGATGGAAGAAGAATACAGATGAAGATGCATAAGAATACAAAAGAAGAGTAAAAGAAAAGCCAGGATGAGTCACAAAAATATTTGTCAGACTATTACTACTGCTTTTAAAGAATACAAGCCTAATGACACAGCAAGGTAATTATATTATTTCCTGGGGAAGCATTGCTAGAATGAGGGAAGGGTCTGGTAGATTTTATCCAGAACATTTAAAAGTTTACCTCCTGTGACACAGCGCCGAGCCATTTCCCAGATGATCAGCCCAAAACTGTAGATGTCAGCCATGATGTATGGCTGGAAATGATTTTTATTCAGGCTTTCATCCAGGACTTCTGGAGCCATGTAACGTTTTGTTCCCACTCTGGTGTTCAAGGGAACGTCAACTTCATTTGTGTCACTATATGAAAACATTAGCAAGTTACTGAACTGTGGACTGTTACAAGGTGTGAAATCCTGTATGGCACAACCACTAAAAAGACAAGTCTCTGTCTCCATAGAACTTAAACTAACAAAGGTATTTAACAATATTATTAAAGTAATGCATCTTCAATTAAGTTTCAACTACCTATATGCTGTTCAAATTTCCTATGAAAGAATTTACACGATTGCAATTACTATGAAAGGCTAGTTTTGAATTAAAAAATTAGTCTCCATTTCCTCTACAAAACTTTTTATTTTCCATAAGAGTATTTTTATTGTTTCTTAACAACCTATTTTCATCATGATGTTTATCAGCTTTCAAGAACTACATTTTACCCTCAAAACTGGAAAAAAAACCCCAAAAACGCACAACCAAATGATTCCATCTGCCTTTTTAAACTGGGTATCTGGTGCATTAAATAAAAAAATGACATGAAAGTTTTCCCATGACAGAGGATTTGTTACCTGTTAAACTTGACTGCAAGACCCAAGTCTGCAATGCAGCAGGTTCCATTTTTCTTTATCAAGATGTTTTTACTCTTCAGGTCCCTGTGTGCAATTGCAGGCTTGCCTTGTGTCCCATAGATTTCTGTGTGCAGGTGGCACAGGCCACATGCAGCAGAATAGGCCAGTTTGAGCAGAGCCCTGTTGTCCAGAGTAGTGCACTTCAGAAAATCATACAATGATCCGTTTTCATGATAATCCGTGATCAAGTAAAGCTGTGTCCAGGAGCCAGTGCCTTTAATATCTGCTGCTATGAAACCTACAAAATGTACAAACCAAGGTACATAAAATTTTTGTGTTATAGATTTAGTGATAATTCCTAAAGCTGCATTTTCTTGTACTGTAGCAGAAAATACATGCTGTCCTTATAAAAACTCACCATAGAACCTGTGATTCTAACTGTATGTGAGGTTACCAGTCCAGCCTTCCAGCAAAGAGACTGCAGATATATTTCCAACCAAAAGCAGCAAAATTCTACACTTTGAGTAACATTTTATTAGAGCACATTAAGGGAATAACCCATCTGGTGATTCCACAGAAGCTGCCTTAGATCCCTCAAGCCACCCACTAAGAGCTTGTCCTCCACCCTCCAGCAGCCAAGGCAGGTTCTGCTGCCTTACCGAGGATGTTTTCATGTCGCATGAGAACAGTTTGGTAAATCTCTGTTTCTCTGAACCAGCTGGCTTCTTCTGTGGTGAAAAACACTTTGACTGCCACTTTTTCACCCCTCCATTTGCCCATCCACACTTCACCATATCGTCCTTTTCCAACTTGCCTCACCATCTGAATTTGTTTGGCAATAGTGCGCTGAACCTAAGGAAGACAAGAAAAAAAAAGAAAAAAAAAAGAAAAAAAAAGGGTATTAGAGGGAGGAGGGAAACATACCACTTAAATAAAAGTACCTGGCCAGGCTGCTTGTCAAGTGTCAAGCTTGGATTACTTTAAAGTTTGATACCATTGTAAAATTTGTTCCATGAAATTTTTTACATTCCACTTTTGGACTCATTATTGCCGCCTCCAATGTATAAAAGAACTCCCAAAATACTTAAGACAACTCAACTTCTAACTGAAGGGTATGTTCTCTTGCACTTTATTTCTGATTTATAAATAGTCATCTGTCTCACTGGCTAATTTTGATGCAAGTATTATATAGCATGGTGAATGAACAAAATTATGAATAATAATCACAAACCGGTTTGAGCTGGAAAGGACCCTAAAGATCATCCAACCCCTTGTCATTAGAACAAGTTGCTCAAAGCCCCATCCAGACTAGTGTTGAACACTGCTATGGATGGAGCATCCACAGCTTCTGTGACAACCTGTTCCAGTGCCTCAATATCCTCAGTGAAGAATTTCTTCCCAATATCCCATCTAAACCTACTCTCAGTTTAAAGCCATTTCCCCTTGTATGCCCTTGTAAGAAGTCCCTCTCTGGCTTTTCTATTTTAATGGTCAGTGGATACTAAGAAAGTAAAATCTCTGAGTTCACTCAATTTGATCCTTACATTAGCCATTTCTTGTATTTTTACCCTAATAGCTGTAGGCTCTAAGTTTGCTTTGAATTCTACTGATGCCAACAGATTTTTTAACATAGCTAATTTCACACAATTTTAATTAACTATGTGAAGATAATAATTCACTGAAGAAAAATCTCAAGTTTATGACCTACCAACAATGGTAGCCCTGATCCACTCCCAGAACTCTGTGACTGGTCAATAAGGTCTTTTAATGACTCCCCAGCTGGAATAAATGCTTCATCTTGTTCCAGGTCACGATTATAACAGTGCCTCTTTGCCATCGACTTACAGTAATGCCTGCAAAAGTAACAGCAGTTAAGTTGAACTCCAAAACACTTAAAACATGTAGCAAACTGTTCTAGGAAAGGAGCTATTTAAATATACACACTTTCTCAAAAGAAAAAAAAAGAGAAGCAGATATTACTGTATTTTTTTCCTTTCCTGAAATGTAACTTATATAGCTTTTTAATGTTAAGAATCTGTTGTAATGCATGTACAGGTTTGTCAGGTGATTATCAGTGAGGGGGAAACCCACCATTTTTAATACTCAACTCTCAGCCAGAGTTACCAGCACAACATTGCTGACTTCGTTAAATGAACAGACAACCTTGAATCACAGCAGCTGAGGCTGACACAAGCCTTGGAAACTGCTAGAACAGTGATCACCTCCAGCACAGGGCTGGTGCTAACAGAAGCACCTGAATGAAGTGCCATAGCTCAGCTGGATAATTACTTAGTTTTGAAACTCAGCAGAAAATCTCAGAAGCAGATGAAATTTAACTATTGAAAGTGACTGAAGACCCAAAAGCATAAAAAGCATGATGATATTCCTGTTTACCAGCTGCTATAGCATCGAAATTATGTGTAGCTTGCAAAACTATAAATATTTTGTACCCAGAGGAAAGGATCAAACTCACTTAAACTGTCTGCTGTGAACATTTCATTTTACCTAGTGATGGAAACTGCTAAAATGTGAAATCAGGTTACAACTATTTCCAGTGTACAAACGATTAACTGAGTACATTAGCAAAATAACTGTTCTCTTTACACTGATTTGCAAAATTAAAAATGTTGCCAATAAAGAAAGTGCTTTCTTACTTGTAACAAAAGCAGCTAAGTAAGATGACCATGACAATTATGCAGACTGCCATAGAAATCAACACTGCCATCCAACGAATGCTGCCATCAAAAAGTCCATCTATTTGACAAAAAAAAAAAAGAAAGAAAAAATAGAAAGGAAAAAAAGAGTGTTTCCAAAGTCTATTAATGAAACATCTATTGTAAACAGTTTATTTAGGTATGGTTTCATGTATTGTGTATCAAAGTAAGTATTTATACCACAAAAGCAAAGATAAATTGATTTGGATGACAAAAAAAAAAAAAAATTCAGCTTGACATTTTGGAGTTGTTGGTTTTGGTTGACTCTTGCTAGTTCGTTAGAAAAGAAATTAAGGATTTAGAGCAGTAAGGTTCTGAGAAGATATAAAGCAACAGTTAGACCAGTACAACTTGCCTAGCAATGAATGAGTAAGCACAAGAAAACAAACTATTTTTGCTGGGAACAACAGAAAGAAGAGAATGGATTTGCAATAAAGAGGTGTTAACAAGGTCTGAATAGTTTTTTTTATGATGGCATTCATAATGGTAAAAGCACAGCAGAGACTAAGAAAAACATTTTAAAAAGAGATCAGACTGTGGAAACAGAACAAAAACAGATCAGAAAATCACATGCAGTCAAGATATGAACGTATTAAGAACAAGAATAAAAATGCCATGAGTGATTGATCAAGGAAAAGATTAACTTGAAAGCGGTAAAAAAGGAAAACTGAAAATAGAAAATGAAGAGTAGTACAGATCTTTAAATAAAAATTACTGAGTATGGAAAAAACCAGATCTGCGCAATACTGTAATTACATTGTCTCCTTACTTTTACTGTTGATGAGGAAGAACAGAACCTACATAGCATTCCTTAGCAGTGTAAACATACAGGAGGTGTTTACCTGTACTGTCAAGAGGTGGTAGTGTTGGTTGCAAATCCTGATTGCAGAAATCAGTGCGACAGCACTCAATCGTTCGGCGCAACTGTGCTTTAGGCGAGTCCTGTTGAAGGAGAATTCAATAAACATTCAGACTTTGAAGCTAAAGCAGGGAGAGGAGATGCTACAGCTACAACATAGCACAGATAAAAGTGCAAGCTATTTTATTCAAAAGGCACTTCAACCTCACCATTTCATGTATGAGATCACTCTGCAGTGGCAGACAGACATCATCTAATCTCTGAGCCTACATTTGATCTTGCGTTGTTTTTATATTTCATGAGATGTTTTCCACTTGTTGCACAGAAACAGACAGTTTCTACTTAAGTTGCTATTTCATATATGGGAAAAACCTTGAGCTTAGCCAAAACCAGTTAACCATATGTTAAACAAATACTGCTCTTAAGACAAAAAACACAATCCCTTTAGAAGTTTTTCTCTTATACTCATCACAGCAGCAGTATTTGCTTTAGAAGCATCCTCAGAATGCCACATAAAAAAGGGAGTGGCATAAACATGAAAGAAAGTATGGCACTGGTATAAATCTCATTTTTTCACCTTGCACTGGAAGTCTGAACCTTCATACTTCATGCAGCCAGAAGCAAGCGTGGGTTCTCCATGTTCATCCTCCTCAATGATAGCAAAGCAATGTCCATTAGTTCTGCAATAAACATATCACATGTGCTTGACCAGCATGTTTATCATTTAATATTCAGCATTAGTTGACCATGAACCTATTAAGAATTCTAGAATGAAAACTTCTAGAAAAACTATTTAATAGAGTAGTTACCATCCAGTTTGAGAACAAAAGACCCCCACAGTATTCTCGAATAGAACACTACAGGGATGCTTTCTCACAAATATTCATTAATTCCCTCAACATAGATACTAAGAAAAACAAAATTAGAAATAATTTTGTTTGCCAAAAATCTATTTACACTAATTCAAAGAAATGCAAATGTGAAAAGCATAATGCCATAAGGTACCCTGCACGTAGACACTGTGGGTTTTTTAACTAATAGCTTCATTATGAGCATAATGGCCTATCAGCTGCTAGGTCAGACAAAAATTAGTAAGACCTATACAGACTGCCAACACTAGAGGGCAATAAAATCCAATAAATAAATACCAAGAGGCTTAAAAGACAAATACTGGAACATTTTCTCAGCTCAAAACTGTTTGTAAGTTACTGCCTGTGTTTACATTTAAAAAGACAGCAGTGTTTACTCTACCTCCTTGGGTTCCACAGAAACTGCCAAGTGACACCTTAGAGAGACTGAATGTTAAAGTGAAGACTCAAAGTACAGGAGCAAGTAATATGTTTCAACTGTGTATATTAATTCTTAAGGAAGAAAACAGAAGGGCCTTGAACATGGAATTGCAAATGGAGAGAAAAAAAGAAAAAGAAGGATGTTTCAGGACATGAAAAAAAAAACAAAACACCTTAAGCAAGCACATAACCTATGCTTGAGTCTGTTAGGATTCTTATACCTATCAAAGATAAAACTTCCCTCCTGTCTCTACATGTCCACAGGCTTTTCTTTATTTTCCCCTGCCTTTCCTTCATAGTCCTTCATGTAACAAGTACAATTCTCAGTAAATGGCCTTGTTGTTTACACTACCTTTTTGACTACTAGGTGAAGAAATAGGTAAACAGGTGGTCATGTCAGAAGGCTTAGATTTGGGTCACTTAATACTCACCCAGCTATAAAATACCACAGGGTTACTTAAAACCTCTGTCCTTCAAAGCAGTTGCTAGGCTTAAAATGACCAGTTGTAAATTATTCTAAGGTGTGGTGAAAACGGAGATGACCATGGGTTTTAGCACTGACAGAACATAATCAATTACGGTCAGACCTCCTGAGAGAACCTGGGTCAGCATTCAGAAGTAGTTTGCTCTCTCAAAATCCAAAATTATATGCTTCAAAGAGCCTCTCCATCCTGAATGCAACACTTACATGCATGTGTTGTTAATAGCATCATCTGGACAATGTCCTGAGCAGTAGCATTTAAGAAAAGGTAAGGTGTCCTCTGGCGCAAGTGTTACTCCATTTGCTTGTTTCTTTTGGTCAGAATTTGTCTTCATTCCTGTACCATGAAGCATGCTGTCTGGCTTTTGACCTGGACACAAAAAATAGAACCAAAAAAAGTTTGCATCTCTTTGAAAACTGCTCAAGAGTTTTATAGTTAAAATATGACAATAATAATTATATTTATAACTGAAATATACAAGGCAATCTCCTCTCCCAAGATTATAGAAATCTGAGTTAATAATTTTATTCTAGCGATACCCTCCTAAGTTATTTTGTACCTTAACAGGAGATCTTCCAACCATATATAATCAATATAAACAGAAAGATATTTTGTCTTTTCCGGGGAGGGCAGGAAAGCAGTGGTGTAACTGGTTAGAATTTTCTGAAGAAAGCTTCTCTCATTCATGTGTTCAGAAAACCAAAATGCTGACGGCTTAATAACCACAACAAGAATAATTTTATGCATGGCTGAACATACTTAATATGCAATTTTCTAATTTTCTGAAGTAATTTTTTTATGGATTCACAGTCTCATGGAAGAGCAGTAATAACTCCAAAATCTCTTGGTTTTTTTGATCTCTGTATGCATTAGGACTTCAAAACACAGCTAAAGTAAATCTCGTTTGCAAATTAAATTTCAGTAAATGACACGAACATCCATCCAAACGAGCTTTCACAGAACAGAAACAGGGCTGCATCATGTTCCAAGTACCCCTCAGTTTCTCAACAGTAGCAGAGTTAAACACCATTCTTTCTTGATCATATTATTAAAGAGCTTTTGTGAATGCATGCATTCAGAAGAAAATATCCCTTTCCTTCTTAGTGAAGAACATCCAGAACAAAAATGATGAATGTTATCTGCCTCATTTGGAATATGCTATGTGATTACTGTATGAGATGAGAACATCTTTACCTATCTCCTTCAGCTTTATCACACGCAATTTTACCAAAAAGAAATCTCTTTCTGTCCACCACCTTGGCTCTAAATCCTCAAGGTACAAATCAAATACAGATAGAAGAGCTGTGAACAAACTATCACTTGCACTGACACAGATTACAGCAAGGCTCTGTGTGAGGGTCAATGTTGGCAAGATAAGCCAGCAGCCAGTCAGGACCAGCAGAAGCTTTTACGAATTCAATTATTAGTAAAAAAATTGAGGTCACAATAAAAATTTCATTTTTAAATTTCAATTTTTCTAAGGAAAAGAAACCTAAGCAGAAAACTCAAGAGTGTCTTCGAACAGATTCTTTGGCTTCCTGTCAAACCCAGCAAACACAAGCTGTAGAGTGATGAGAATATTAGTGTCCTGTTGTACCTTGCTTGAAACACGTCCAGAAAAACTTGATTAAAATCTCTTGCAGATACAGCCCTCTGCATCACTCTACATCACTGTAACATCCACTATGTCATTCAGACAAGTGCCAATTAAATACCTGTGAAATTTGATCCTACTGTACTGAAAATAGCAGACCTGCAGATTTCCTCATCTGGTTAATAGAGCACACCCAGTGCATTGTCCAGTGCAGCAAAATAATGCAACTCTGCTTCTTCTGGATACAAGTAAGAGAATATCCTGAGAAATACACCATTTTCCTAAACACTGAAATCACAGAGCAGTGCTTTATTTAATATGTGGTCTTCAAAGAGTATTTCAGTAATGCCCAAGTTAAATAGTGCTGATCTGTACAGACTGTTCACAAGAAACAAGACCCAATGGTAGAATAACAGCAGGTTATAGGTATTTCTGATTTAACCAAGAAGAATCCTGCACAACTGAAACAGCTCCTCCATCTACCCCCCTCTCTTTCTACATATTTCTTCCCAGCATAAACTGAAAGGTAATTTTAATACTTTGCTAGAGACATTACAAAACATTCTGTATTCACATTTAAGGAGATCCTTACCTGCTCAGAGAACAGGTAATTCTACTTAATATTTAAAGCAAAAGCCACTGCATATGTACAAATATTGTCTTTCTGATTCTGTTGAATGACTACAGTATCCTTCCCAAGTGATGTTATAAATCCCTCTTGAGGGACATTCCACATGTTGAAAGTCTTTATGGTATTTTATGATCAGCGTCTTACAGTCACTCATCCATTTTCCTACCCTGATCACTGAATGCAATGTTTTTTAAGTTTATTAGACAAGAAATCCAAGGAACCCTTAAAGCATGGCTTCTCCTAGCTCAGAACAGAAAGAACAACATTTTTGTGCATGTCTGGGATCTTTTAAGGCAGTATAATTCCCTGTAAACTAACACTGAAGCATGACTACAGGTATACCAACCTTTTATACTAAAAGTGACATGAAATACATTTTACCTCTTCAATTATTAAGATGGATTGCATTACGAGATTTATGAAAAGCACATACCATATAAAATCCAAAACAGGTAACTGTATTCTCAAAGAAACAGCATCTTTGTCTTTTGTTCAGTTTCTGTAGGCAAAGATTTTTATTCAAAGCAAGAACAGACTACAATTTCATTATTTTTGTAATGTAAAACTCCATAGTAGCCTGCTTTCATCTTACAGGTAATACCTGAACTGCACAAAGAATGGGGGGAGAAAGAAAATCACTTCACTCTTGCATTTTTACTTCCTAAGAATGTAAGCAAAACACTTCTTAGACAGAAATTTGAGTACCTAGGGAAGAGAATAAGAAAATTTGGAGGAAGTTTGGGATTACTTCACTAAACAGTTTTTAATTGCCTACACCTAGGATACCGAACTGTATCCTTTACTGCAGTACTGCAATTCAGCAGCAGCACTTCAAGACTCATTAGTGTCCATTTTAAAGCTGCTGGGTATGGGAATGGGAGTCAAGTATGGAAAGACTTGGCTTCCATCCACCTTCGATATTAAGAGGGCAAATGAAGGCCCTGAACTCACAGGATCCTTCATTGTCATTTTTTCCTGGTTAATAAATGCTGAGTAAATGAACAAGAGAGAACTAAGGATAGGCCTAAAGAACATCTTGCTCCAAGGTTTACATCTCCACCCTCAGAGCTCCAGCTCTCAGACATTCACACTGCTGCATCTTCCCCCTGGGAAAAGGACAGGCAAAGGGAGGATCATATTTTAGGATCTCATGACACTACACTACTTGATGATGTAATTAATCTCTTCTTTTCCATGACACTTGCAGTTGTCACTCTGTAGTACAGCTAAGAAACATACATACACAAATCTCACATAACCTTCAAAGGTGTAAGTGCAGTGTACTGTGCACTGAAACGCAGCAGTCAGAGACTCCAGGCACAGCAAAGCTTCCTCTCCACCATTTCCTAACCTCCACCTGCAAATTGCACAGAGCTGGTGGGGCAAAATAATACACAAGAGCAACAAATGAGCTATCACACACTGGTGAGATTGTTCAAGATCCTGGATCACTTCTAGCTTGTTCATCCAGCCTTGAGAACGACAGTATCATAGACTTCTAAACATACAAACTGCTCTGTGCATTTTACTGCATTACAAAGTTACAACATTCAAAAAAATATCAGAGTAAGGGTGGAACAGTCTCCTAACTTCACTGCAGTGTAAGACACTGATGAGAAAAAAGCTGATGGGACTTCAAGTTCTGATTTTGTCTTCTGCTCTGCCCCATCATACACTGCATGCATTGTAGATTTCCACAAGTGTGAACAACTGTTACAGACAGGACAACACTTAAATGGTTTTCTGTTTAAAATTAAACTTTATTTTAATAAAATAAATAAAAATTGAAAAAGCTAATAATAAAACAAATGGTTAGAACAATGCCTGACAATGTATAATATCCAGCCTTTGAACAAAAATATAAATTATTCAAAGCACTGCTTCTTCCAGTCACAGAAAATAAGTTAAGACTATAAAATGTATTTCAAAGAAGCACAGGATATTAAAAATCTCACTAGGTTAGAAATCTAAGTCTACTTGAAAGCACGCATCAAATATGAATATTAACATGGATAAATCTTAAAAATGTGCTGTGCGTGACACTGCAGTGTTACTAATCACTAAAACCCAAGTTAACCTGCTTGCAACTTAATGCCAGGATACAGATATAATTTCATTTAGTCTTCTGATCTAAGAAAAGATTTGTGTGACCCATAAAAAACCAGCTCTATGAAATGCAGAGACAGCAGTAAGTGTAAGAAGACAAATGCAAAAGTCAAACTATGCCTACAATTTTTTTACTTACTTGTATCCTCTCTTTCTCCACAAAGGAAGGTCCAATATGGCCTATAGCAGTCAAGTTGTTTGATAGCTTTCTGAGTTCATAATATAGGTGTTGCCCATAAAAACATTTCTATTCCAGACCACATTATCCTTTAAAGGATATACAGTGCTAGAGGCATTTCTTTGTAGCTACTGTGATCCACACTTGTAAAGTCCAAGAAATTCAATATTTAAGTAAGAAAAATCTTAGTCAGAAGAGCCCCTTTACCTGCCTCCCTGCTGGTGCTGATGCCACTGGGCTCTTTTCATCAAAGATGAAAGTTGTATCAGAGCTCTTTATGTTAGATATGCCTTGCTCATGAAAAAGCCATACCTTGACATTTTAATGTGGTAGTTCTAAATTACTTTTTCTTGCTTTAGGACACAGATACAGCAAAATCCCCCACTCCAGTAAGCACATTTCACCTTTTTGCCTATCACAAACTTTCCTAATGATTTAACATGCTCTGTTATGTGAATTAAACCTCAGTACAACTGACACAGCTTGAATACAATACTAGCACTTTCTTTTCAAAGACAAAATAACTTTTTTAAAAATCAGAAAAACTGTATGAGTACAAAGAAAATATCTTAAATGCTTCTCCAAACTCTGTGTTTGGCGTTGTAAGCATAATTCTCCCTATAGTGCTTTTTTATATATCAAGGCTGTGATCTCCAAAGACCAGGCATGTTAGAGGTAGCTCCATCTAGCAGAACTGGTTCCTAAAAATCACAGCATGTTCCCAGACTACTGGTTTAAAACCTCCCTCCTGTCCTTCCAGCTCTCCCAGGAGCTACATCAGTGCACAACATAGACAGGCAGCCCCTGCCTCCTCTGCTTCCCAACCCACAGTCCTCAACCTCTGCTCCCATTTCCCTTCCCCAAAAGGCACTTCTGAAGACTGCTCTGTTCTTATGTACTCAATATAAAAGTCAGAGACTTGGAAATTTTGTGCATTTTTCTTAAAAGTACACTGCATTGTAATTTAAACTAAAAGGGCTTTTAAAGAAAAAAGTTACTTAAAACTAAATGCGACTTTTTAATAAAGAAATAGATCAACTTTAAATAATCCCTTGAAGAATTTTACTCAGACAAATTTATAAGAGCATGGTTGCTGCCCATATTTCAAAGACATATGCAGCCGTTAATTGGGCAAATCACTAATAAACAGAACCAGTGTTTTCAAGTAATGAATCAGCTACTGACAACTGTAAGTTCCTTCTATAGATTTTAGAATTTTGTTTCAGATTAGTTTATACATTCAAATTCAGTTAACTACTTCATCTGAAATTGAGAAAGTACATAAAGTTTTTAAAATGTATCTTAATATATACCTCATATATATCAAGTATTTGAATAAAAGTAATTAGAGCAGTGAACTAAAATCAACAGGTTTTTTTTGTTCAGTAACAGCGGCAACTTTAAATCCATTTTAATATTTAATATTGACACTAATCATTTTTAAATTTGACTTTTAATACATCTTTATGCATATCAAGTGGTATTAATACATTTTTAGTCAACTAATTTACAAGGATTAAAATACTGGTTTTCTGTGGTGTCTTTGAAGAATACATAAACATGTGATGAACCACATGGGAAGTAAACTGCCAGCAATGAAGAACCAAATTTATGAGAACATGTTTAAGTAGATGTTAAGCACTTTATTACTGCTACATATATTGATCAGACATGCTCATCAATGCACTATAACAACAAAGAAATACTCGAAAGTAAAAGTAGTTCTCTGCCTGAAAACCCTGCACTACCGGGAAGACAAAACCTGTTTAGTGCAGCCACAAGTGTGGCTGAAGCCCAAGACCTCTTGCCTTTGATCAGAAAAAGGAAGTGGATGAAGATGCAGAGCAAGTCACAGACTTAAAAACACTGCAAAGGTCTTCCACAGCAAGAAAGGAAATATAAAATGTTTCAACTGAAGAGGTTGCTATTAAATCCGGCCATCTGCAACCCAGGCTTATTTCTGACTATTTCTCAAAGTAAATAAAGAAGTCCCAAAGCTACAAAGATACAACTCAACGGGCAACCACTGGGTCCCCCTGCTGCGTATTACCAACCTGAGAAACTGCAGCTATTCACCAGTAATGTCATGGAACTGCCTCTGGTTTCTGTTGTTACTGTAAGAATATTTTCACAGTAATCAACACATGCATCCACTTGCTTTTTCAAGTTACCTGTTAAGGAATCTGGTATGTATTTATACATGCAGCTATACAGACACATTTGCTTTTATCATTCTCTCAGGTCTTGGTAAGCTCTGAAATTCCTAACATTCTGAAGAAGCCTCCAAAAAAACCCCAAGAGAGCAAGCCATTAACCTGGATGCCAGACAATGAAAGTACACACAATGGTTTTTACTTTCTCTGCTTTTTCTTCCTCTTTCTGTAAATCACACAAATTTTCTTCAATTTTTCTTAATGAATCTTTTTTCACCTCTGTTGATTGCTTTATGATACATTTTTCTAACATCCTGCATATATTTTCCTAGTTGAAACTACTTTTTCAATGGTTTAAACTTTTCACTTTAGATTGTCTCTTTCCTATAAAAATGTCAAATGCTTTTTGACTATGATCTTAATTCTTTCCCCCGTGAACCTAGTGAAATGCAGAGAGACTTGACTGGCTTTTTCCTCACCACCCCTGGAAACCAAGCATATTTCATATGTTTGAAGAAAAGCCCTTAGGCAACTTGCAAAGAACTAACAACATTTCAATAAGCTCAACTTTTTTCACGGCTTTCAGAACTCCCTCCCAGTATTAATTTGAAAGTCAGGAAAATTTCTAAGATAAGGAAATTTTTTCTTTTGAAGCTGAAAAATAATACTCAGTCTTTAAACTTAATTTATCTATATTACTCACTGGAAGTTATTTACTGAACTGTTATTAATCACTGTAATCATGGAAGGAGTTAATGTAATTTAATTTTAAGCCACTAGAAGACTTGCATATTTGTATTATTATTTCTATTTGAATCTGGAGAGGAAAAAAACCTCTTCAGTTGGTATTGCTTATTATTAAAATGCTAAATATTGGCTAATGCAGAGGAGTAACCATGGCTTCAGCAAAAAGAACAAAGCATATTACTCCCAGCCTCCTCAAGGGAACAAGGGAAGAAGCTGGTCTCTTCCACCAGAAGCAGTAAAACTGCTTGAATACAAACAGAACAAGCTCCACAGCAAAACACTATGTCTGAGTATTTTAGAGAAGAAGAGATCTCTGGAAGTCACCTGGTACCACCACCTGGTCAAAGCAGGATGACCAACTTCTACATCAGACCAGGTTGTTCCGTCATTGCAGTAAAGTTCTGACTACCTCTAAGGATGAATATTGCACTACCTGCCCAGGCAGCCTGTTGTAATACTTAACCACATTCAGTCAAAACTTCTTTCTTAATTTCTCAATGAAACTTTCTTTAGTTTATTCCCATTACCTAATCTAAGCACCTTACAGCTACCTGCAAATATCTGTAATCTACTACAGACTTCAAGTATACCCAAACTAGGCTATTTCTGTCCGAATGGATGTATCAAGCCCAGATATTGAAGAGACAGCTCTGCTATATCCTTTAATCTAATATTGCAGATTCACACCAGAAACAAAACAAAAAGATCAGCATTTGGGTACTTACCAGGCTTCCTCCTCTCCCCATTTTAATGGGTTCATTGAATTGTTATTCTTGAAAGTATCTCACATAGTAAATAGTAAATCTCACATCTCAAAATCAAGCACTCACTAAGCAGTAATTGATCTAAGTATGGAATAAGAATATAAATTCTTCTATATTCAAGTATTTAAATGGCAGTACCAAATTTGTTTTCTCTATTTTCTGAAAATATACACTCTTACACAGAGACCCAACCAGGGATGTATATTTTCAATTCAACCCAATTTGACAGAGGAGTTAAAGTTCTAATGATAACTGAATTTCCAGAAGTTTTTTGATAATTGGTGTATGGAAAGACAAAAGACACACAAATGAGTACCTTCACTAATGGAAAACGAGGATATTTGTGAATAGTCCATAGCCTCACCTTGGCCCATCAATTAGGTACAAAAAGTTCATTTAGATTAGTTATGGCATAGTACGTCTAGACTGCTGGGAGCATCAAAAGGTGTGGGGAACTGCACACTGCAAGTTCTTCAGTGGGTCAAGTTAAGGGGATCAAATATTCACATACAGAAGGAACTGAAATTCAGGAAGTCAAACCTTCACTTCTGCTGCTCATCCAACCTGCTCAGTGGTGTACTAGGCATTTTGAGTATTTTTTCTAATCAAGTATTTGCTAAAATACACCTAATCTAAACTACAATGAATGACCACTAGAATGTCCTTCTCTTTAGGGAAGCATCCCATGACACATCAGGCCAGTAAAGTCACCTGCCCGCAAAAGAAACTCCAAAAGAAAAAACTTCAACCACTGGAAAAAGCATAAGTCTGCTACAAATCAGAAAGATAAGCTTATTTGAACTAGTTTATATTTACCTTGAACATGGAGAATGATAAGCAGATAGGCTCCAAGCAATTGCTCATGAACTCTCAATCGAGTCATTGTTCACTTTTAATCCTTCCTGTGCAGGGCGACCAGCCCTTCTGCTTGACAAATGCTGAGCTCAGTCCGTTCAGTGAAGCCTAATACAGGATTCGGTGCTTGACTGCAAGGATGCTTCTGTGGCTTTTCCACCTTTGTTTCCTGGAAAATAAAATAAAACAAAATGTTTAAAAACTTCATGTATTTGTGGAAAAGGAAAAAACCCTCAAAGTGGTCATCATAAAACAAAATGTTTAAAAACTTCATGTATTTGTGGAAAAAAAAAAAAAACCCTCAAAGTGGTCATCAAGCTGAGCATAACCAACAAACCCAACAAAAAAACCCCATGTGTTTATTAACATTAGTATCTGAAAACATTAGCTATGATTACTGTCTAACTGAATAGCAGGGTTCTTCTGAAATATAAACTTTTGGTAACAACCCACAGGGATGTTTTCATATTCCTATTAAAAATATTAGATATGTCAACTCACTGGTCGTAAATGTATAATTTTAGACTTGCATATAGCTGTTAGAGGTAGTATTCAACAGATTTAACATGTAAATCTGTTTGAAAACTATTTTCTTTACAGAAATGAAACCTTCTTTAAATTATTTCCCATAAAAATTAAATGCAAGTGGTGACTTCCCATAATACTGGTGGGGAAGCAGTAACACCATGTTAGGCCACCTGTTGAAAACTGCTGGTAGAGAAGCTTTATTGCAAAAAATCTCCCAGCCTCTCTGCTGGATGAAAACCAAATTTGCATTAAATTTAACAGTTAGTTTAGTCACCTAATATATTTATCTTGTTACTTTCTTCTCCTAGAAGAGAACTGCAGAAAAAAGACAACACTAACTGCAATTCAAAATCATTACATCCTGGATTCCCAAGCTGTATGCAAATTAATTCCTCCTGAAAAATTACACTACCGTATGTACACGCCATTTGCTCCACAAACAAAACATAATTCTACTCTTGTACAGTGGGTGAACATACAGCTAAGACAGCCAAACTGAGGAAGAAGTCACTTTTTCAGACTGCAGTAGTTGCGGTCACATTCCGCTTAGAGAACTTTTCAATGGTGATGCACGAGGGGAACGTAATTGGGCCTCAAAGGACTAAAAAGCAGCTTGAACACCTCAATAGTTCCTTGCAACAAAAGCGAAGCTGCACAAAGATGAACAGAGCCCTGATTTTGCCTCTCCTCGGCCTCGTTTCGGTGGGGTTGACCCCCCGACCCCTGTCAGCCTGGCGCTGCTCATGAATGCCAGAACGGGCGCTCGCTCGGGGATGGGCAGCAATTACTGTTGGTGGCCGCTTCCATCAATAACTCAATCTGTGTGTCGGCGAGACCCAAGAACTTTTCATTTTAATGAGTCTTCGGGGGCATTTAACATGGAGGCAAATTAGCGGCTGAGCCGGGAGGTGTCCGTCACTTCCAATTTCAGCGGGCGCGGCGCCGCCCCGACCCCTGGCCTACTTTTCACACGTCTCTGACTTCTCCCTAATGCTGCCACAAAGAGGGAGCCAGGCACCCCGAGCACCATGGCAGCCACGGCCCTGGCCAGGATTATTGCCTGGCTGTGGTGGGACGGACTCGGAATCGCGCACTGTGCAAACGTCTGGAGCACCAGGAACTTCAAAGTAATCTTCCTGGCCAGGCAGAGGGAAAAGCAATATGACAGCAAAAATATTCACTCTTTAGTGCTCCATATGCCACAACACCAATTCTGACAGTTAATAAGGAATGTCCTTCTAGCTATAAAATATCAGGCCAACAACGTAAGAGCGTAAGTATTAATGCTTTATTCTGTGTTTTATTGGTAATGAACTTCCAATCCTCTAAAACATGTAGGATTTGAAAACTGCCAACAGCTTTATGCAGCAATAACAACAAAGGCTTTATTTACGGTATTCTATCAAGCAAAACCAAATAAATCTTAGTAATAGTCTGTTTAAAGTATTTTTAAAAATCATTTCTGTCTTGCCCAGTTTCAGAAGGAATACGTATTTGCACTGTTGTACATTGCAAGAGTAGGAGTGTTTAAAACTTGATGATCTTGCCCCCTTGTTCACCAGAGGGGCACACTAGCACAGATATATCTATTTGCCATTGTACCACACAGCATGCTACCCAAAAAAAAAAAAAAAATCCCAAGAAAAAAATTGAAGAAATTAACCATTTTAATGCAATTCACTCCAATTTCATGGTGATTTTTGTTCAGTGACACACTCCAAGGTAGTTTCCAGAAATGCTGTCCAAACCTATTAAAAAAATAATGTTCTCCACCAGTATTTTATATCTCAATCTTCTTTCCAGTAATACTTCCCTTTTCACATATGTATATATAAAAAATATATAAAATATTGTATATAAAACCATGCAATAAAAATCACAGAGAACAAATCCTAATTCCCCATTTTAAAACAAAAAATACCCTTTCAGACTGCTATTAAAGAGGAAGACTAGCAGCCCTGGCTAAGGCACAAAATGGAAAGAGCAACAGCTGGAATTCTCCAAAACCTGCCTGATACAACAGTTTAGAATGACACAACTAAACATTCTTCAAATACATTAAAGCACCAATTAACACTTAGAATGCTACTCTGCCAACAGAATAATGCTGAGGAGATTCAAATCCATAAGTCAATCAATTGATTTTGAAATTCTCTATCTCTTTTCTACCATAGCCACAAAGAAGTGTTCAACTATAACCCACTAAAAAGTAACTTATTCATCAATGGTAACACATGATTTTTCTGCACTGTATTTTATTGTCTTTTTTAGGAACAGTTTATTGAAGAGAATTTTATTAGAACTGTGGGTTTTTTTCTGAACTGGAACTCAGCAGTGAATTCACAGCACTGTCACAGCAGTCCAGCCCTATGTTCTGTATGACTCTAAATAGATAAAGCTGAAGCGTGCAAGATCTCTCACATGGCCCAAACCAATTCTGAAAGCATGGAGCTCAGTGGCAACTGCTCTTTAGATGTGGCCATGTAATATTTTTAACAGCACGATCCTCAAACCAAGTGAGCTGTGCTGTTCCAAATTTCAATAAAGAATGATAGTGGTGAAGGCAACAACAAAGATAGTATTGTATAAGGGGAACACATGAAAAAATGTCAATCTTAGACCTCACAAGAATTAGAACATACAATCCATTTCAACAGACAAGATATTTCAAACCATTTGCAGCAGTACATGTAACACCAAGTTAATGTATTTAAACACAACAAAACTAAAAGTTACTAAACGGTTCTCTGATGTGTAACTGGGGCAAGAAGCAACTTAGGCAACTGTAAGCATATTACCTCAATCACAGGGACTGTTTTGAACAAGACTTGGAGATGAACAGAATGCCAGAGATAAACTGAACTGTCAGTCTAAGTCAGTGTGCAAAAACAACTTCCCTGGAAGATTATGAAAAAACCTGATATGGTGCCACAAAGAAAATTACTTATTTGGATGAAGAAAAGAGGGATTATAAGAACAGTAAAGAATTCACTACAGGGCAGACAAGTAGTTTCAAGAACAGAGATTAGTAGCCTAGTTCAAATGGCATCTGAGGACCTCGATTCTTGATTCAGCTTGACTGAAGAATACTCACCCTTTTCATTAATGAAGTAGTTACAGAAAGCAAAAACTTTTTAAAAATTGCTGACAAACAAATTGTCAGTTCAGCTGAGTGTTGTTTTTATGCAAGAAGATTTGGATCATGTGAAGAACTGAAGTAACAAATGGAATGAAGTACAACAGCATGAAATTGGAAAAGTCACGCATATTGGTAACTCTGGGAAATTTCTGCTTCACACAGACTAGAAGCTCACACATAAGAGATAGCTATGTCCAAGGACACCAACTGATTACAGAACATCAGACACATCCATGTGATGTGGCTGGGAGAAAGACACAAATACAACTCTGGTATTTCCTAGAAAAATTTCCCAGGGAAAACAGCAAGGCATGAATAGCACAAAGATAATATGATTGATAAATTCAACATCCATCTAGAAGGATACTATATCAAGGAAAGCAAGACATTTGGAGATAACAAGAAAAGAAAATAATACAATTAAGAGAGCTAAAACTGATGGGTAAATAACTACACTTTGACAACATAACAGGAATAAACACAATGAAAGACATACAGCTATTCAATCTCAAAAAAAAATTTACTGGTTCAACAAGGTACGGATTAGCCATTAAAATTCATTTGGATCAGAAATTAGAAGCCAATTCCTAACCACTGGTTAGAAGGTTGTAGGGCAGATTTTCAGATGAAATAGAGTCCAAAAACTTAATTAGTCCTTAGTTTTCAAAGGCCACCATCTCATATAGCTAGAGGTGTCAGGACAGGAATAGATTGATCTGGGACTACATTTCATTATTCTTAATACAAAAAGACCTATAGTTAGCTTCAGTTTATCCAAAGTCAAACAGTCAAATTTAACCCAGCCTGTAACAAGAAGAAAGTTTCAGCCTGTGTATTGTGTAATGCTGTCAAATACTTGTACAAAACCTACTTTTTAAATGTGTTTTTATTATTCTATTGCAAGGCATTGCTTACACAAATTGTTGAAAAGTGTCACAATGAAACACTCGAACTACCTATGCTTGAGTGCTGAAAAATATGTTAAAATAAAGAAGCAAGGTAAATCCACCCAAAAAAATCTGTCAAGAAATCCCTACAACTGATGGAGAAGACTGCTGACTATTGCAAGCCTGCTAGCTACATGGCCACCAACAAAAACAACTTCATGTAAGGTCCTATTTAGGCACTAATCTGTTCGAGCTCACAGAAATAATTCCCCTGAACTGTGGATTGTGAACAAATTATTTAAAACTATTCCTGCTTGCATAAATTTAAAAGCCAAGAGATTGTGTAAATTATACAAGTCCTTTCTCCTTCTAGAAATTGAAGTGAAATTTGAAATGCTAAATGAAGCCCATTTGTGTATATTATATACTTCTCAAAAGACTGAAAAAAGAAATCTTAGTTCTCCCTGTGGCACATATAGAACCATGTGTTTAGAACACATGTGCTGCAACATATTCGTTCATTCAAAAACCACAAGACCCTAAAACCAGGTTTTTTACAGCAGGAGAGCTCACAGTCTTAGAAAATAACTTCTTATTTCTGACCAGCGGGAAAAG